ATGACATAAAATTATTTTCACGATTACACATTTCTTAATACAGTCTAAGTTCTATGATCGGTTGATTTCACTGTCCATTCATTACTAGGAGCGCATTTTTTCTTTTTCTTTTTTGTAACAACCAATCACAGCTTTTAGAAGACTGCGTCATACCTAGCAACGGGGTCAACCACACCTCCTCACTAAGATAAAAGTTTCTGTCCCCTCCTTGCTCAGAGTTGCTCTCAGAAACTTCCTGAATCACTCTTAAGCTAAGATTCCTTGCTAGGAATTTATAGGCTAAGTTAGGAGCTCTCTGAGAGGACTCTGAGAATCTTTGTGAATACGGGCCCAGGTGATTTAAACCGGTAGAAACACTGAATAAAGCAGGTTTACATAAAATCAGTGTTTATATTCTAAAGAAAACATACATATTATATTTCTGCCAACATATCCCCCTAAATCCTACACACTGGGGCTTTAAATTGAATTTTATAAATATTAGGAATTAAGTCTTTAAATAGTCTTGATTTTGAATTTGTGAGGCCACAAACATTTTATCTAAAAAAAAAAGTTAATAACTTAAAAATTATGGCGAAAAGGTAGTTTCTTGCAACCCTAGAATTAAGATAAAAATATTCACAAACGAAAAAGCACTTCTGGTTGCTGATAAGTAGTGTTTAACTTTTAATTTAACACTAAAAATTAAAACCTTCGGTGCACTGCAGCGCAAGCAGACAGATGCGCGACTCAGAGCAGCATGTGTCACTGACACCAGACTCAGGGCACAGCGGACCGGTGGAAAGTGTCACCATCAGCATATTATTTTACATCAATAAAATCTATTTTATCATTATTTTGAGTCACATTGTTGGAAGAATTTAGTCGTCTGTGTTCAAGCAGGATAATAGGTCTGCATTCATTGCACGTCGGGCTTTCTATTTCCTTGTCGGAGATGTTTTCTTTTTTAATAACCAACCAAAAACAATCAATCAATTAAAAACACAAACTGGAACTGGAACATGAAATCTCATATGCCTAACAGACATTGCTTCTCGTTCTTTGAGTTTACATATGGCTAAAGGGGAAAAAAACAACCGTAAACAGACGGCATGATTACTGTTGCGTTCAAGGTCCCCCAAAAAAAACGAGAGAAAAAAAAGGCAGAATATTCGATTTTTTATTTTTATTTTTTTTCACAATCGAATCCCGTGCCATCGAACAAAGCTTCGAAGCTTTGAACTTTTTGGGTCAGCCCTAAATCCCACATGTAAGGGGCGAGCCATAAGGTTGTTGTTTTCAGCAAGCTGGCCTTGAATAGCTGATGTTGAGCTGTAGAGCTGTGTTACTTGTTATGACCTAAGGTGTATTTTAATAAACCTGCCTTTGGTTTAATTTATTCTTTCAAGCTTTATTCCTTCTCATCTTATCTGAGTTCTGTTGTATGTTTGTGCTCCATAGATTTAATTGCAAACTACAACTGTTTAGTAAGTTAAAGATGCGTTACTGCTAAAGACAGCTTGAAGTGGAGATGAGGTCTTAAGGTTTTTTTGGAAGGTCTTAAAAAAGTCTTAAAAAGGTATTGAAATTAACCTCATAACTAATAACATAAATAATTCTTATTTAAAAGGGCTGCAGCATTGACCTGTTTTGGCTGAGAAACACCTGATAGAAATATTATTTAATGAATTTATTAAAAGATAACAAGTTCACCAGAACCTGAGCAGCGTTCGCACCTTTTTGGAAACCAGGAAGTGAGACAGGAGTCCTTGTGATGTAGCTAACCCCTTGTATACCTGATCAAATGATGTTTTTTGTAGAAATCTGACGGAGTTGACAAAAACCTGGGACATTTTGTACAAACATTTATTTTAAAACAAATTTTGACACCGATCTTATCAGTAAGGACTGTTAGTTTTAGATTTTGAAGGCTGTAAAGTTGTGATTTCTTGTCTGGGATGAGGCTGTTTCCAGACACAGGGCAAGTTCAGAATTTAAGAAAAAATAAAAGCAGATTAAAATATAATATTATTCATTCATATAAATCCTTTAGAAATAATGTGTCTCACCAGAAACGTGATTAGTTCCCTGATAAGTTATAACTTTAAGGTTTCTTTTTTCTGTTTGTTTTTTGGATAGGATTCCTGAAACAGGAAACTCCAAAAATCCAAAAAAGAAATCCTGATGTATGAACAGTAAGATTACCAGTATTAAATCTTCCCCCTCCTCCTCTTCCTCCTCTTCTTCCTCTCTGCAGCTGAGCAGTATGCCTCCTGATGCCTGCAGTGAGTTCAGTTTCTCCAGAAAGGGTCAGCTGATCATGAGCGCCGTTAATCCAGCCAGCAGCTCGGCTCCGCCCACCCTGTCCGCCTCCTCCTCCCTCCTTACCAATGGCTCGTCTCATCCCGTCCATCAGACTCCACCCTCGCCTGACCTCCTCCTGCAGAAGTGGATCCTCGCCGCTGCCAAGGTGGGTGGAGCTTCAGCACTCACCTGCACAGTATACATATATGAATATATTAAATCTGTATGTGTGTGTGTGTGTGTGTGTGTGTGTGTGCAGGGCCGTCAGACGGAGCTGTGCCAGCTGACTCGGCCTCTGTCTGGAGGTCTGGGCTTCAGTGTGGTCGGTCTGAATCCAGCAGGAAGCAGCAGTCAGGGCGTCTTCGTCAAACACATCCAGCCTGGAGGCATCGCACACAGGTTCACTGCTAACGCTTTAACTTCCCTGCAGTTAACATGAAGTCACACATACAGAAACTTTCAGATGTTCTCTCCATGTTTTTGTCCATTTATCACAAATCTTTTGATCTCTGAAGATCCTTTAAAATGTAGGATTTAGTTTCCTTACTTCTAGTTAGCCATTTTTTTCCTGACCAACTGGGGAAACAGCTCCCTGAAAACACTTTGCTATCTTCTTACAGTGTCCATCAGTTCTTTCAGAGTGCTAGGCAGCTGTTTAGAGGAGCCCATGGCTGCTGATTGTTGGGACGAGGTTTCAGGAGTCAGAGTATTTATAAAGCTTTGAAATTAGCATCACCTGGCCTTTGCTAATGATGACTGTGAACAAGCCAGAGCCCTAACAAGCTCATTAAGGTCCGAGACCCTGGGAAAAGTTGTCTGAGAGCTCAGATGTCTTGGGGTGCCCAAACTTTTGCACAGAGCTTTCAGTTTTTTTCACTCTAAAATTGTACAAAACAAAATTAGTTATCTTGCTTGAAATGTCTAAAGGCATGTTTCATCTACAACATCATGCCTTTTGGAGATCAGTCCATCTTCTACTTAATTAACTATTCTGTATATAATGCACACATTTATCATAAATGTTTTAAAACACAACACAACGCTGGTTTCAATCGACAAAACAAAACAATCAGCACAACAAGATCACAGTGTACATATTATTCTTTTAACAGCTGCAACATGGAAACTAATTACTAAGCTAACCAACCTGCGTAGCTGCTAATGCTAAAGTAAATATGAGTCATATTGCTGACATGTCAGCAGTTTGGTCTGTATGATGTCACTGAGGAGTCCGGACTGATGTTGTGTTGCTGCTGCAGGGACGGGCGTCTCCAGGAGAGGGACCAGATCCTGGTGATAAACGGCTGCCCTCTGGAGCCGGGGATCAGCCAGCAGCAGGCCCTGACCCTCCTGCAGCAGCCTGGAGAGACGGTGGAGCTGGTGGTGGCCAGGGACCGCCCACTCAGTGCATCACCATCATCATCATCACAACCTGCCACCAGCGCCTTCAGCACGGTAAGAAAAGTCTGACCGACTGTGTCACCTCAATACAACAAGTGTACAATCTCCAGATCTGTTAATAAGAGAAACAACTGGTTAAGTTAGTAAAAGATTTAATTGTTTTCTGTCTGTAAAGAGACACTTCGCTCACTCGGCTGTGCTCGCAGCAGATTCTTTAATCTGCAAGAAGGAAAGCTGCAGTATAAGTCCAGATGGGAGCTGCACGTCTGATACTAAAGTTTTATTGTTGGTTGTTTGAGAGAAACAGGAAAACACGCTGATATCGTGGAATAAAAGTCATTTCCTAATCTTTAGCATCCAGTTTAGGGTAAAAAAAAAAAAGTAAATATTAAGAATCTGATCCAGAAAGTTAAAGTGTCAGAGTCAGTAAACTCTGTGCTGCACAATTAAAATGAGCGTTACTCAGTTCATGTTGGGCTGTAAAACTATGTGTCAGCTTTTCTCAGTTTGGAACAAAACGTGGAAGAACTTCAATTTGCTCAACGTTTGAGGACTCAGTATGAAATTATTTTTAAGGTCTGATCCTAACTGAAACATCTTTATACTACACACACACACACACACACACACACACACACACAGGAGCTTGGCTGTCACTCAAAACAAGCATTGCAGAGCGAGCGTCAATCACGAGTGGAGGTCACTTTGAGGCCACCCCTCTGTATCACTGTGAGACCTCCTGTTTTATGACGAGCTGCGAGTCTGCTGACATTGACTTGGATGATTTTTATGACCTTTTTAAAGCCTATAGGAAATCAAGTTAGTGCTCCACTTGCAGCATCGTTCCTGACAATATGTATTTAAGTCTGTGAGGAGGTGCGATCAATGAATGTCGACATGACGGGCGAGTCAAAGAAAACTGGCTGCGAGGCGGGAGAGAGGGGGCTCGGAGGAGGTGCAGAGATGGAGACAAAGTGACGCAATTGTAAACCTCTGTCCACCATGATCTGAATCTGAGCCGAAGCTGCGTCATCAATCCACTTCTCTACTCTCTGTTCACCTGTGACTGCACTCCCACCCACAGCTCCAACACCATAGTTGAGTCCGCAGTCAACATGACCATAGCAGATGTGACATCAAACGATGAAACAGCCTACAGGGATGAGGTGCAGTCGCTGTCTCCATGGTGCTAGGACAAAGATCGCAACACAAAAAAACTCCAAAAGAAATCATCATCAACTTCAGGAAAAACAAAAAAACACATCACACTGGACTCAGCGGGGAGGAGGTGGAGCTAGAGGCCAGTTTAAGTTCCCGGGAGTCCACATATCTGAGGGTCTGACCTGGAGCCTGAACACCTCCCATCTGGTCAAGAAGGCCCAGCAGTGCCTGTTATTGCTAACGTCCCTGAGGCACAACAGACTCCCCAAAAAACTCCTGATGAACTTCCACCGCTGCACCGTTGAGTGTCCTGACGTGCTGCTGTACGGTCTGGTACTTTAGCTGTACTGCTGCAGACAGGACGGCCTTGCAGTGGATCATTAAGACAGCTCAGTGGATCGTCGGCTCCGCACTTCCAAACCTGAGAGACATTCACTTGAGCTGTCTTTACAAAGGGGCCTCTAACATCTGGAGACCCCTCACATCCTGGACGTCACCTGTTTTACACCCTCGCCTCAGGCAGACTGAGAATTGTACGCACACGTGAACCAACAGACTGAAAAACAGTTTTTCCCTCAGTGGGCTGTTGAACCCACAACCCCAGGCTCTGAGATAACATAAATCTTGTGCCTTCTGCTTCAGGCTCATTTATTCTCGTTGTAAACGTCACTGCCCTCATTCTTCCATGCTTCCTTTACGATGTCATAGATACAACCAGTAGATGGCACCAGAGGGCGGAGTCAAATGTTTATGACTATCGCAAACGTGGCGACGGTGGAGCAGGTCGTAATATTGTACCTTTTAACGGAAGCAGCGTTGTAGACGGCGTTGATCTGTGCCACCATATAACATTGCATAGCATTATGTGGAAGGAGAATTCTTTTCACGATATTCCTGATTCGTTACTAGCTCCGTTATTTAACCGTCATCGTTGACTCTCACTTGCACTACGCTACGCTGCCTCCGTGATCTTGCATGCGCATCCGTAAGCTCTCAGGAGACATGCACAAATACAGACAAAATGAATGCAGGGTACAGACAGAGGGCTCCGTCTTCATCTCCATATCTGAAGTTGAGCATAAATGAGCCCTTAGACGTTGTGAATTTACAGCTCACGGTAACTTCATACATCACAGTCTCTGCCTTTGTTTGAGATCTGGTGTCTGCAAAAAACTTTTCGTGAGCATGATTAGCCCGTGTTAGCTCAGAGGGCTAACTTGCCTTGTTTGCTACTATATGTGAACGTCGCTGTCATCCTGAACGCCCCGCTGAACTCAGTACAAAGTCTCAAACTCTTTATAGAATAAAAGGAACAAATAGTTGAGTATTTGTATTAAACAGCTAAATCTGATTTGACGGACAGAGTTCTGAGTCGGGTGCAGTCCCAGTGTCCAGAGTTTGACAACTAAAATATTGCTTTATTTGACTTGCTGATGCTGATTAATCACTTCCTAACTGATTTGTTATCAAAATTATTTATGTTTTTTTTTTTTTTTTTTTTTTTTTTTTTATGGCCAAAAGCAAAAAAGGATACCATATTACAAATTACATGTGAGCAAAAAAATTCAATGCAATTAAGAAAAAATTTCTTACCACCAATTAAACCTGTACTTTTGTCCACCATGTTTCTGTGTGAAGCTCCTTAAAGTCGGTAAGTGAAGAACCAAAACTTTCACAGTCTGTCCGAGTTCTGACTCGAGGGGGCGTTCATGTGAATTATTTACAGTCTGGAACTATTTTTTTTTACAGTTTTTTCTGACACCACATGAATGCACTTAATGCCATGTTGTAACACCAAAAAAATATTCAAATTAATTTTAATGAGACAGTTTACAATCAAAAAAATTCAGCTAGGGAATAAACACAAGCAAAAACAGCATTTTATGGGAAATAAAGAGAAGATTCAGGATGATTATTCTCCTCAGCAGACCTGCAGTAGGTGTCGTTTATACAGATCAGACAGACGAAGCACCGCCACTGTGGAGGGAGCTCAGTTAGAGACACTGTTACTGTGCGTATGAGTTAGTGGACAGAAAACATAACAGGACATGAAAATGTTTGAGAACTTTGACATTTAAATAACCAAAAGAAAAGTCTTCAGTAAGACAAACGATGTGGTGACAAACCGGAGCAGGTCTGGACTATTAATGTGAGCTGAGGATCACAGGTTAGCCCGAGCCGTAATGATTCTGCCCTGCTCTATTGTCGGGTCATTATCACACAGAATTACACTGCCCCTCTTGTTTGTTACCCTCCTCCTCCTCCTCCTCCTGGCTCATTGGATCCAGGCCACGTCCTGCATACCAGGCCTCCGATCATCCCGCTTTTGTTTTATTCATGTCCTGTTTCTATCGAGGTCACGTTTAATGGAGCCGTGGGCATAAAAAACACAACTCTGGCTGGGATTTTATTGCTGTTCTCCTGGCCTGGCTAACTATCCGTCTCCCAAAGCCAAGACTCCTCTGCTGGGCAGATTCAGGCGGCTCTGACCCGCCGTCACAGCTGATGTGTCGGACCTCTCAGCTCCTCTCTCTGATGCTGACAGGAAACTGGTCACTGTAAAGCTGCTCATAAAGACGGGTATAAATCAGCGAGTCAGATATGATTTTACAGCTTTTGTCTATTTAGTGAATATTTTCCTTCCATCGATTAGGACAGTGTGTCAGCGAATGCACTTTTTATTTTTATTTATGGCTCTCCTAAAACTGACAAAAAGCAGGAAGAGCGGAGATAAAAGGTAACAGATTGTGTGATTAAAGAAACCTGAAGGGGCCTTTAAAAGTGCCTCAGCTCTGAGGAAATCAACTGAAGAACAACTGGAGAAAGTTTATAAACTGCTCTCAGTCAACGGCCCACCTCCTGTCAATCAAAGGTTCTGTCACTCATGAAAACAGACAGCTCCCGACTCTCCCAGCATGCACCTCTGCTTATCGCTGAAAGCTGAGACAATCTTGACCTTGTTCTGGGGTTTATTTTGCCTCTGCAGCGGCATCAGCTGAGGCCAGACGCATCATGCTTTCAGGTGCGCCGTCCATCTGTCTGTACATTTGATTCTCGTGAACATAATATCTCAAGAACACCTTGAGGCAACTTCCTAAAATTTGGCACAAATGTTCACTTGGACTCAAGAATGAACTTCTTAGATTTTGGTGGTCATAGGTCAAAGGTCAAGGTCACCGTGACCGTTGGTCTCATTCTTGTGAACATAATATCTACAGAACACCAAGAGGGAATTTCCTCTAATGAAGCACAAACATCCACTTGGCATTAACAACGAACTGATTACAATTTTGTGGTTAAGGTCACTGTGCTGTTGCATCTCAAGAAGGCCTTGAGGGAACTTCCTCAGATTTGGCACAAATATTCACTTGTACTTAGGTGATTAGATTTTTGTGATCAAAGGTCAAGGTCAGTGTGACCTCATCTTTCTCATTGTTGTGAACACAATAATTACGGACAACCTAAAGGAAAGTTCTTAAAATTTGGCACAAACGTTCACTTTAACTTAACAATGAACGGATTTAAATTTTGTGGAAACTGTGCTGATTGTATAGATCGTCTGTGTGTGAAGCATCCATGTTTTCACTGACTGACTGGAGACTGTCAGAGACACTGGACTGGTGGGCGGAGTCATACAACCACAGGGTGGACTGGTGGGCGGAGTCATACAACCACAGGGTGGACTGGTGGGCGGAGTCATACAACAGCAGGGCAGTGATTCTAGTTTGAAATTGGGGTAGTTTAAGTGTGCAGGTGCTAATCTGACCTGCCTGCAGTCCACACCTGTCTCCCACTGAACAGGTGTGGAACATTATGAAGCACAAAATGTGACCCCAACTTGTAACTTGTAAATCAAGCAAGAATGGGAAAGAATTTCACTTTCAGAACTTCAGCAGTTAGTGATCTCAGTTCCCAAACGCTTACTGAGTGTTGTTAAAAGAAAAGGTGACATCACACAGTGGTAAACATGCTGCGGTCCCAACGTTATCATAACATGTTGCAGCATCAAACTCAACATGAGTGTATATTTACCAGAAACAAAGTTCATCAGTTTGAACTGTTAAATATATGTCAGATAGGATTTACTAATCATTGCATTCTGTTTTTATTCACGTTTCACACTGCATCTCATTTTTTTGGAATCAGAATTGTAAAACTCCCGTCATCTGAGCCTTAATGCCTCAATGACTTAATGCAGCTCCCATTTACCGGTCCAAACAGTTCACCATAAATCAACATGGAGAGGTGTAAAATAATAATGATAATAATTGTAAACACAAATGTTGTTTCCACTTGTGTCGGTGCAGACCCAAAAGAAATCCAGCACCTTTACCTGACTAAAGAACCTGCAGTAACAGATCCCCTCTGTGAGAAGACTGAACTTCTGTTGGAGAGAAAAGCATCCAGCACATTCAGTGTGATCCGACTTTATCAGGCAAACAGCCTCCTCCAGCGTCCTGGGATCAGCTGAGGAGGAGTGTTGTTTCATTAGACAGAGGAAGACCTCCTGTATCAGATCAGAGCTGTAATAAGAGACCGTGTGTGTGAGCAGGTATCTGCTGCAGCCTCTCATTGATCAGCGGCTGGTATCAGAGAGGAGGAAATGCTCTCAGCTGGTAATTACCTGCTGAGGTTCCGTTTAACGACCTCTCACCTCAGGACAGATAGTCGGCCAGCAGCTCTACGAGGCTGCTGCTCAGCCACCAGGAGGAAACGCATCAAAATAACTCAAAGGAATCTGTTTTAAATGATCCTGGTGTGATCTGCTTAAAGAAACAATGGGATCAAATCGTTTTGCCTTCAGCTGAACTGAAATAGAATACTTCAAATTAAATTCATTTTGATTCCTGAAATGTAGCTTGTTAACTTTCATCAGGTTGATTTTTGAGGTTTGGATTTGAATGTCAAACAGATGGACACATCAACATCTTAAAACCAACAGCTGCAGTTTACAAACCAGTCAGAAAAACAGAGATTTTAATTCCTCTCTGGCGCTGAACTCAAATGTCTGGTCTCATGTTCAGTTTTTAAAAAAGCAAAAAATAAAAATAAAGAAATGCTTGATCAAAACAAAACAGAAAAAAATTGACAGAGTTTGACCTTTGTAGCAAGGTACTCTGGGTACGTAACACTTTTTATTGTTCACTTTTATTGAACTCTCACTTCATACGACCAAAAGGACGAAGCTCAATTCCAAGTCACATGACACAGCATCGCAAATGATGACAAAAACTGTAAAACAAAAAAACAAACAGAAATTTATTTGAATATCCTAATAAAGAAAATCTGTACTTTTTATGAGTATTCAATTTTTTTTACAAAAGGAAACGGCAAATGTTCGTTCAGTTTTACAGCAACAATATCCACTATTCGGTACATAGAGCCTTGCAAGCAGCACACAGCAACAAAACTCTCTAAAGCAATACTGATTCTAATCATTTTGGCACATACAGACACACAGAGCAGCACTAACATGTAAAAACAGTCGGGTCTTTTAAAATAAATAATAATAAATATTTTTTTCCTGTTGTCGGGAAATATTTGGAACAAACAGGTGAGCCACTGAGAGCCAATCAGGAGAATTCTTTGCAAAAATCTACAAATAAACTGCCAACCACAAGACCAATGTTCATCGATTTCAGTATTATTTTTTATGACACTTCAAATTAAAAAAAACAAACAAACAAAACATCTAGGAATTAATTGCAAATGTAAATCTACAGCGGCCCAAAACATCGTGCAGCATGCCAATTTAAAAATGCACACAAACATAGAAAACAAATACAACCACAGAAATGTGCTGCAGAAAACTGAAACAAGTACCAAAGCAGAAAAATACTGCATGTTCAGTCAACACAACAAAAGTTCTCCAGGCCTCTAGGGGAGCTGTGTAAATCTGTTGCTCTTTTATAATATTGTAACAGTCAAAAGCTAAATGTGAAAAAGAACACGCACCTTTTTTTTATGTCGCCTTTTTATGATTATTTATATTAACAATGTACTTATTATTTTTATTATTTTATTCTTCATAAAACACTTTTCTGGCCATTATTTAACGTCATATCTCAGGAACAGAAGGGGAGACATTTGGTCAGATTAGGGCTGGGTTAGAATAATTGATTCATCCGATTCAGATCAATCTTCATTTGAATGACCTGATATCGATTCATAAAGTCCAAGATCGATCTTTTAATATTCGCTTCTTCCCACGGATGTGTGAAGATTTAACCCTGTTAATCTTGCCGTTAGTGAACGGGCCGCGGCGCTAAATTATTAACGACCGTAGCATTAAGAAGCTCCGACGTCACCTGTTCTTTTATCTGTAACTGTTTGCTCACTGTTTTTATGTTTTGGTGTAAGTTATTATCGTGCTGCAGCAGCCGCTCCTCCTGCTGTCTGAGCGTAAGGGCTGCTGAGACTCTTATAAGCACAAACACGGAGTAAAGATGTGGCGGAGGAGACAGAGAGGTGAAGATGCAGTAAAACCTCCACAAGGAAAAAGCCAATACTTTATCAATACAGCTGATCAGCAACATGGAAACATGTAGAAAATATTTCAGTCTGCTCTGTCCGCAGTCTCTCATCCAGCACCGCTGACATCATGTTATAAACAAGCACAGAGGCTTTACAGCTGACAGCAAGCTGTTACTTACTCCATGTTTTCACAGACATGGATGGAGACTGTCAGAGACACTGGACTGGTGGGCGGAGTCATACAACCACAGGGCGGTGATTCTAGTTTTATTTTGTAGCACATTTCCATTGTTGTATTTGTTTTGAACGTTGGTGTGTTTCTCCAAATGGAAATGTTTTGGGCTGTTGTAGCACGTTTACTTTTGTTGACCAGCGTATAAATCTCATTCCGAATGTTAATCACCCCAAAAACTAACTTCCTTTTCTCTGAATATGTAGTTGGGATCTTTATGAGTTCCTTTTCTCAATAATACTTAGAGACGCACATTAGTCCCACCGGTTAATGAATGTCTTTGTCCTCTGTCTTTATGCTTAAGGATCAGTGGGGTCACGTGGAGGAGATCGAGCTGGTGAACGACGGATCTGGTTTGGGCTTCGGCATCGTGGGAGGGAGGACATCCGGCGTGGTGGTCAGGACGCTCCTCCCAAACAGCGTGGCTGACAAGGTGAGTTCAGCTGATGAGTATTAGATCAGAATATCACAGGATATTACATCCAAACCTCAGTGTCGGGGGCATTATTAAACTACAGTAGGAGATTTTTGGTTGACTCTGGCCGATTGTTGACTGAGAGAGTTCTGAACCAACCAGCTGCCTCAGGGGATCAGCAGAAATTAGCCCAATGGACGTTTTCTGCATAAATAAGAGTTAAAAGACAAACAGTGCATCAGAGCAGACAGCAGGCAGCAGCAGGACTGAAGGAGGAATTATAGCCTTGTAAGTGGATTAATTAGATTAATTAGATGAATTGGACAAAATTAATTTCTCTGCAAGGAAATGGAAGAAGCTCAGACACCAAGACATGTGTAACCACCCGGAGTTTCAACACACTTCCTGTCAGTCTGTTCAAATAAAAACAGATTTGCACTTTAGTTTTTCGTCCTTATCCCCCCATTTTCATCATTTCCTGCCTCTTCTTCCTGAACTCCCTTCACCATTTTACCTCTTCTCATACTCTTTGCATCTTCCTTTCATCTTTTCCCCTAGATCGTTTTTATTTTGCCACAGCAGGAGTAAAGTACGGACTTTATTTTGGTTTGTAGCTGACGTCACATTTCAGTTTGCTGTAAAGTGGGAAAATGACAAAAACAAAAAATCATTTCAACTGATGTGAAATGACTGTAAATTCTCAAATAAATGCAGATATATAAAACATAGCTGTGTGTGTACAGCTCAAATAAATAAACACTGGATTTGTGTTTCCTCTCTGATTGGCTCTCCTCTTTCCCCTCACCTCCAATCAGGACGGGCGTCTTCGCACAGGCGACCACATCCTTCGCATCGGGGCGACGCCCACCAGTGGCCTCACCAGCGACCAGGTTGTCAAGGTGCTGCAGGGATGTGGGAGTCAGGTGACCTTGCTGATCGCCAGGGATCCCCGGGGTCAGAGATCAACAGCCCCGCCTCCCCCACCACCTCCTGACTCGGCCCCCATCTCCTCCTTACCCCCCCGCCCCCCTCAGCGCCGGCTCAGCAAGACGGTGAGCGCAAAAACTTTCTTCTGGGCGAACAAACAAAGAGATGAAAGAGTCTGTGATTTCTTTGCTTTATGTGCCGCTGGCCACAGAGGCGGAGCACTTACAGCCGGGATATATGGACTCTGTGTTTGTGTTTCAGCCCAACCTTGAGGGATACGAGATCCATGAGGTTCCTCTAACCAAGAAGGACGGCCAGAGCCTTGGCATCTCCATCATCGGCTACAACCCACTGACCAGCCAAGGTAGGACAGGAAACATCAGCTTAAGCACACCCAGACAACAAAACACACTGGAAATACACAGCACATAACACAACCAGCTCAGGTGGGACAGGAACACGCTGTTAAAACTTAATTAATACACAGTTAAACTAAACCACCAGGTATCACGTCAGACATGTCTGTGTTAATGATGTACCTGCAGCTTCACGGTAAAAGCCTCAAACTGCCTGGAGTCAAGAGATTACAGTGAAACTCAGTCTACATCATCAGGCCTTTTATTGTGAAGCAGCTGTGGAACTTTTACCAAAAAAAAGCTGTACAACATTTGCTGTAAACAGCTGTGGAACTTTACATTTATGACACCATGCAAGTATTCTCTTTATTGATCCAGTACCACTTAATGTCTTTGTCTCTCCGTCTCTCCGTCTCTGTCACTGTGTCTCGGTGTCTCTCGCCGATTCAGATGCAGTAGGTGTGTTTGTGAAACATGTGGTTCCAGGCAGCGCTGCAGATCAAAGCGGAAACATCCGAATACACGACAGACTGATCGCTGTAAGAACCTCATCTGCTCCTTAATATTTACCAACACGTTTCTTTTACTGTTAGAGAATCAAACTTCCTTTCTCCTTATACGTACTGAGATGTTTACTGTACATTTTGTTAAACATGAATTATTTAAAAATTATTATTTAAAATCTGGATAAATTACAGCCCAACCTGATCTGACCCCTGTTCTTCACTCCTCTCTCTGTCTCTGTCATCTATCTGTCTTTCTCTCTGTCCTGTTTGTCTCAACAGTTGGACGGCATCAGTCTCCACGGTCTGACCAATCACGAAGTTCTGGAGGTGATGAAGCAGACAGATCAGACTGTCGTCCTCACTGTGGTCAGGAAGAAACCGAGAGCCCTTGAGAGATCCTTGGATAAAGGTACACAGACAGACAGATACTTGTAGACAGACATACAGACAGTTTTACATA